CGCCAAGGTTGAGAAACACTGGTCTATGGGGTTTGGTTGTGTGCCCTGGGAAGTGTCCTCCCCTGAGGATTATCCTGCTGATGGGCAGGCAAAATGCAATTTCCAGCACTCTGTTAAATGGGAAATAATTAAAGGATCAGGGCACTTGTGTTTTATCTCCCCTTATCGTTGAAGCTGCGCTGATTTCTGTCTTCAACCCCGTCACGGGGCTGTGCAGCAGAGCTGGTGGAAGGAACCCCCCAGCCTTGCATTGCCCCCCGCCCCAGACGCGCCGTCCCCCAAGAATGGCCGAGGGAAGGGCGGGGGGAAGGGGGAGTTATCGGGGCTGCCGTGGGCAGGGGAGGGGGGACGTCAGCGGCACAGGCTGAACCCAGCCTCACAACTTTTCTCCTTCCCACCCAACAGAAAGAAATTTGATATGGGAGAAAAAGGAGGCCGAAAGAAGGGACCCCCCTCCCAGCCTCCATCCCGGTCCCATGCCCTGGGACAGAGGGCAAGCAGTGACATCATAACGTGTGCAATGCCACTTGCCCCTTTGGCCCCCACCCCATGTCCAAAGGCTCTTTGGGGTCTCCACGGTTGGCTTTCCCAGGAGAAGAGACACCCCTCTTAGTTCCTTCCGGGGGTGTCCGCAGGGTCTGGTCCAAAAGTCAAGCCGGCGCCTGCCATGGTGCGATCGAAGCCCGCCTGGCTCTGGTGGGTGTTGCATGGGCAACAACGAGGGGCCTGGGCTTTGCTCCAGGGGGCTGCCAACTTCCCTACAGCAGGCTTGGAAAGGCACTCTCCCAATGAAGGGATGGGGGGAACGGGAGATCTGGCCTTGGGGGAAGGGGTTGACCCCCCCACGGAATTTCGGTACTCAAGACAGGCCATGGGTCAGTGGGGGGGGGTCTTCACAGCAACCTCTTCAGGTGAGACGTTGCTCAGGGTTGTGCCCCGCGGGCCGGGTCCGCATCCCCCACTCCAGGCAAGAATGGCAGCGACTCCAGCTCCCTTTTGCTTGGAGAGGCCGACCAACATATGATTAAAACTCGGCTGCCTGAATCCTATAATTCAGGGGGGTTTCCTCTTCCCGTTTTGCTTGAGAGTCCAGTTGTTCGGGCAGCACAGGCCTTTCTCTCACCTCTGCCGACGGGCCCCCCAGATGCTCACGCGACCAATCCCCACGATTCCCACCCGGAGCCTCACTGGTGCCATGACAAAGAGGCCGAGGGGAGCAGCCCACAGCTCCCCACCCAGGGGCCTCGGGCTCTTCCTCGTCAATCCCCGGGGTTGCTCCGGGTGTACCCCGATGGCAAGAGGAAGAAGTGGGGCTCCCCTCGGGAGCCTCACGGAAGATCCCCTTCCTTCCCCCACGGCCTCAGTGCCAAGCAGGACAGGGCCCCGGAGGAGAGCGGGAACCATTTCAGTTAATCAGCCTTAATGAGGATTCTCCCCCCACCTCAGCATCCTGTGGAGAATAAGCAGATCGGGGTCATCGTGGTGGCTCCGCAATCCCCCAGTAGCCACTTTCACTTACAGACCTTTAAAATTAATAGCCCGTCTCTCTCTCTCTCTCTCTCTCTCTCTCTCTCGCAACACCTGAAAGGGCTCCAGCTGCCCCATCATTTAGTGCTTATTTATTTAGTCTTTTTCTGCTGAGGCATCTGGCTGGACCCTCAAATGTGCCATGCGCCTTGAGAAGGAGGAGGCCTCGAGGGATGTGCAGGGAGCAGGAGGCAGAAGGAAGGGAGGAGGGAGGGAGGGAGGGAGGGAAAGGGCCCAACCCCAGCTGACTGGGCCACCCAGAGAGCATCCAAGGGAAGGGGAAATGCGGAAGGAGACCCACCTGCACAAACTGCCACCTTTCTCTAAAAGTGGCCGCAAAACCGGCTTCTGGGGTCCTGTGGATTCAGGAAGCGCCCCTGTTTGCCCCCAGCAGGGCGTTACCTGCAGCTTTCAGGGCATGCCATTCGCCATTCGCACCTCTCTGTGGGAGTGCGAATTCCCGCAGGTGTGAATGCACACACGCTCACTCCTCTCCCCTCGCCTGGAGGACCAGGAGGGCCCAGGGACACACGTGCTCCCCGACACCGAGGCAGCTCTCCTGGAAGAGCGGCCGGCGGAAGGTACAAGCATCCCGAACGGGCCTGGGGGGGAATCCAACGACTCCACAGAAACCCTGAAAGCCGAGTTTCCTGGGAAAGGCTCTGCAGGAAACGAGAGCTGCCCGTCCGCCAGGTCCACAGGGAGGGGCTCTCTCGCCCTCTGGAGCTGGCTGCGAAGCTCGAAGGACCCACCGGTATCAGCCGGTCGGTCCGTACAGAGCCGCCTGCTTCTGGGCTCCTGCGGAGGGTCCAAAGAACGGGTCCTCTGGGCGTCCACAAGACCAGCTCTGCTGCAGCGAGGCCCTTGGCCGACGGGGCTCTGGGGAGCCCGTCCACGAGCAAACTTTTTACTGCACGATGGGCGCCCGGTTGGGCAGGTCCTGGCACCGAGTCGCGTAACCGGGGGGCCCTGAGGAATACGGATGCCCTCGCCCGCAGCCATCCCCGGCGGCCGGGCACGTGCAGGCGGGGCACCCGGAAAGGAACGCATTCTCTTCCCCCCTTCCTCGGCCCACAATCAGCAGAGTCCCCTCAGATCACAACTCCGGATCCCTCCTCTCGGTTGATCCACTTAACCGACCTGATAGAACGCCCCCTGCAGGCGACCCTTGGACGTGCACGGAGGAAAGAGCCCATATTGGCCACCCCCGACAGCGCCTCCTGCTGCTGCCCCCTGGGAAGGGCAGGGTCCGCCTCAACCACAACCGAAGGAGATTGTGGACCACCGGCGAGCGATCGGCGCCCACCCCGGCCACATCCTCTCGACCGCCCGAATCCTGGGGTGCAAGCCCTGCAATCCGAAGCCGAGCCCTGCCCGCTGCAGCGTTAACCCCGGCGGAGAGCAATACAGCCAGAGGAATTTCACAGTCCCGCCAGCACCGTTTGCGTCCCTCCTTTCGCTCCTTAAGGGTGGGCAGCCGCCTGACCCTCCCCCCCCCCCCCCAAACTTCACTTACCTGGCGTCTTTTCCAGCCGGCCTTTCCTACCCCCGCACAGCCGGACTTTGGAGATTAAAATTAAGATCTGCTTCTGGCATAAGGACTTGGTGCCTCGGGGGCAAACCTTCCGCTGGGTGGAGACGGGGCGGGTGGCCACGGGGTCCCGGATCTCCCGTTTCTGCCGGATCAGGGAACTGGCTAACGCGGCCATGCCTGCCCCATCCGGAGGCGAGGGGGTGGGGGCGAGG